AGCTGCCTGGTGTAGTGTTTGAGCTCTTCAGCTTCCATCTTCAGTTGCTGATAGACAACTGCTTGTGGAGATGGAGGTAAAAATTATCTGTACTCACCTGCATCTCTTGCTTTTCTTTTTAGGAAAGCAGATCCTGTGCTATCAGATTGCAAACTCTTGAGTTCTTGAAAACATTTTAAACCTTGCAAACATGAGTTCCGTGACTTGTGAGGCTGCCAAAGCATTTATCATGGCTTTTAGCACTTTTGGTTTGATTTTTTTTAAACTGGGCTTTTTGGAATGGCTGGAGAGCATCTCATCTGAGGGGGTTTCTTCCTTCATGAAGATTTCTTGATACTTTTATAGAAGGAGTGAGCGGATGGGTAAAACTTCCCTCTAGTGAGAAGGGTCTTTCTCCACCTGAAAGAAAAAGAAATGAAAGACCTGTGGATTATTTGCAGCTTCTGTATTCAGTCTGAAGTGTAATTTGCTAATTCTCCAGAGAGTTGCTTTTGTAGTTTGAAATACATGGACACCTCGTTGTGAGCTGCTTTTCACTTGGCTTGTAGAAGTGCCAGGCCATACATAGCTCTGCACAGATTTTAAGCTGCTGGTCTCATTTCAGATGTCCCATCTGCCTTCAACTGCTTCTCGTTGTACTGTCTCCTCCTTCATAGAGTCATGGAATCATTTTGGTTGGAAAAGACCTTTGTATCCAGTCCAACCATTAACCCAGCACTGCCAAATGCACTGCGAAACCATGTCCTTCAGCACCGCATCTCAGAGAAATGTAGAATGGCTGAGGTTGGAAGGGACCCTACAGATCACCTAACCCAACCTCCCTGCCGTGCACAGGGACACCTCTTAACTAGACCAGGTTGCTCAAGACCTCATCTGGCCTGGCCTTGAACATCTCCAGGGAGGGGGCATCCACAGCCTGTCTTCAGGATCCATTCCAGAGTCTCACCACCCTCAGACGGAAGAACTTCTTCCTAAGATCCAGTCTAAACCTACTCTTCTTCAGTTTGACTCTCTGTTGTTGGACACTCTTATGACAAATCCCTCTCCAGCCTTCTTGTTGGTTCCCTTCAGGTACTGGAAGGCAGTTCTAAGGTCCTCCCAGAGTCTTCTCTAGGCTGAATAATCCCAGTGCCCTCAGCCTATCCTTGTAGCAGAGTTGGCTCCATGGCTTTTCAATCCCTGCAGGGCTGGGAACTCCACCACTGCCCTGGGCAGCCTGGGCCAGGCCTTGACAAGCCTGGCAGGCAAGTAATTGTTCCTCCTAGACATAAACCTCCCCTGGTGCAACTTCAGGCTGTTTCCTCTTGTCTTGTTGCTTGTTCCTTTGGAGAAGAGACAAACCCCTACCTGGCTCCAACCTCCTTCCAGGGAGTTGAGAGTGAAAAGGTCTCCCCGGAACCTTCTCTTGTCTAGGCTCAACAACCTCAGGTCCTCAGCCACTTCTCGCAAGACTTGTGCTCTACAGCTTTCACCAATTTCATTGCCCTTCTTTGGACACACTTGAGTCCCTCAAGGTCTTTCTCAGGGTGAGGGGCCCAAAACTGCATCCAGGATTTGAGGGGCAGCTTCCGTGGTGCCTGGTCCAGAGGGTAGATCCCTTCCCTGCTCCTGCTGGCCACACCAGTCTTGACCCAAACCAGGATGCTGGTGGCCTTGACATTTCACTGGTACAACTACTTGTACAGCCTCATTGTGAACCATCTTGAGGAACTGATCCGGTGAAACTACCCCAGCAAGAGAGGGAGGTTGTTCACCTTCATCTGGTTTGGTTCCCCAGTGCTCTGAGTGCACTGAGGAGGTGCCCCAGTTGCTCTTTTGTGGTGGCACAGAGGAGGAGGGCAGTGATGCCACAGCCTGAGGGAGCAGTGGGGTTGGCAGCAGAGCGATTTGGTTGTGCCAGTGATGGCTGAACTACCACACAGTGGAATTTTTGTTTTGTGTGTTCTGATTTCATGAGAAAAAACTGTGAAAGACATCAGAGATTACACTTAAATAGAGATTTAAAAATTCCCTTGAAGTAATTTATTGCCACAGGACAACCACAAGCCCTTGATGGGGAATTTTAAAGCCTAGTTGGATCGTCTTTTGGCTATGTCTTTGTAGCTGATCATCTCCTGGCTGAAGCTAATTGTTTTTGGTCAGGAGAGGTTAGTTAACTCTGCCGCTGTAGTGTTCTGTAGAAATCTGAATAATGCAGTATAATATCAGTGACAAAGTAGTGGGCAAACTGGAAGGTTTATCTTCAGGTTCCAAGTCCCTCTGTCATCAGGATCTCATGCTAAAGAACGTGAACAAGAAAATGGTCAGTGTAATTCATAGAATCATACAATGGTTTGGACTGGAAGGGACCATCTAGTTCCACCTGCAGGGACACCTCCCACTACAGCAGGTTGTTCAAAGCCCCACCCAACCTGACCTTGAACACTTCCAGTGATGGAGCATCCACAACTTCCCTGGGCAACCTGTGCTAGTGTCTCACCACCCTCAACAGTGAAGAACTTCTTCCTAATTTCTAATCTAAATCTACCCTCTTCCATTCTGAAGCCATTATCCCTTGTCCTCTAACTGGGAATTTGTTGCCTGTCAGCCAGGCTAAATGGACATGTAAGGGGACAGGAGGGAGGAGAAGACCAATGACTAAGTTGGAGATTTCAGCAGAAACTTGTTAACTGTTGCATGTTGAGTCCTCAACTTCTGTGGTCTCACAGCCAGAAATTTAACATTCCTCTTCCAAGTGATTTGGAGGAAGTGAGACTTAAGACTTTGGGATAAATTCCAGACTTTGAAGTGTGAGAGGAAGTCCCAAACAATGAAGATAATGACTCTGCTCTTGTCCAGACGTATAGGTGTAGGTTATGACACCAGCTTTTTCCAAATCTCATTGCATGTGGTAAAAGAGGATAAACTTGTTTGCCTTTGCTTGAGGGCCGCTCCATTGTAACATACCACTTAAAACCAGTCACACAATTAATTTGCAATCCTAAAAAGACCTGGACAAAATTGCCCTGGTTGTTTGGTGCTGTGTGGGCTATTCTCCTTCAGTTGTCAGGGAGTTAAAAAGAAATAAACCCAAAAAATTAAGAGAGAACTAAGCATGGGAGGTGATCGGTTTGAGTGCTCTTGAAGTTAATTAAAGGAGAGAGACAGCACTTAAAACCCTTGGATCACTTCTAAAGGGAGTCCAGTGTATGTTCCAAGCTGGTTAAGGAGTGTATAAGTTGCTTGTAAAAATGGCCAGAAAAACTCCACAGCGTTAAGGTTAGAGTGGTAATCATGTACAAGGCCTATATAGTGGTTTGGGATTTTTTTTTTAAATGAGGCTTAACCTTTCTGTTGAGATTTTTGATACTAATTTCTAACAAAATAAGACCCAGTAGTTCTGCAGTTAGGCAGCTTAGTGTTTTTTGTTTGTTTGTTTTGTTTTTTTAAATTATTATTATGATGTTGTTGTTTATTTTGTATTGCATGTGTATACTAGAGGTATCAGGGTATCCCATCTCAGAGTCTTTTTAGTCTAACTCAGAAGGAGACTCTGCAGGAATTAATCCACTGGTGGTTTTGAGTCATATGGACAGAAATTTAATATTTCTCTTATCTATTTCCAGGAAGGAAAACTAATATATCACTTAAGTGATACGAAGTGTCATGCTGTGATTCCAAAAAATTGTCTTCTGGTTTCAGAAGTGTTTTAAATCCACTTATGGGCAGTGCAAGGGTGTTTCTTTTAAGGTGGCTCCAGACTTACAAGCTACCAAGCTTTGGAGGAAAAAGGATTGTGCTGGAAAATGAACTCTGTGGTAAAAAGAAGCACTAAACCAGTCGTTTGAGGCTTGTAGGTGGTTTGTGGTAATCCAGAAAGGATAGGGGAGCCACTTGTCAACACCCCCATGATAGATGGGTGAGACTCTGGTAGATTGGGAGATTGATGGGGTGAGGAGGACACTCGAGGGTTTGGTGAGAACTTTATTTATTTGAAGTGGTGGTTTGCTGAGTGCTAACTTCGTGCTAGTCTGTTTTAAGCATGCAGGGGTTTGCAAAGTTAAAATAAGAGCCACAGCTAAACAGTGGTTTGAGAGTGACTGAACAGTCCTGTAAAATTGCTTTAACGACTTCAATTTAACAAGAAGTTAACAATGTCAAATATTTGTCAAAGACTAAGGGCGTAGTCTGCTTTGGAGCTGAGGATTTTAGCCGCAGGTATTAAAGCTGTTGGGCACTTGGTGGGGGAGCAAGAGAAAGATTGATTCAATCTAATGATTTTTACTCAAGAGAATGTATTGTAGCAAAATAACATAATGTTGAAGTTGGGTAAAATCACTTAAACTAAAGATTTTAGTGACCTATTCCAGCACATTCAATCCAAGAAAAAAGAACTGAGTTATCCAAGCAGAAGGTAGCTGACATATCACAAACTTGACTTCACCATTAATTTTCCCTGAAAATCTAGATGGGGCTTTCTGATATATTTTACTTTTATTGAAGGTTATTACAGCAGTTTCCAGGATTGCTGTGAATTTGGGAAGCTTTGTTCAGCCAGCTGCTTATGCCCCTGGATGATGTGGGAGCTCTTTGTCCCCTAGTGCTTGCTGAAAATAGCTTTGTCTGGGAAGTGTTTCCAGTGTAACAGTGCAGAAGACCTGGGTGACACTGCTGCTGTTTGATGCTAATAGTAGCACATATTTGCCTGAAACTTGCTTGAGTGATTTAGACACGTGCAGTAAAAATTATGCATAGGACACGAGGAAGAAGTTTTGCATCACCTGAGCTCTCGGAGGTGCAAGTTGTTGCTTGTTCAGTAAGTTCCTGTTGGCTTTGCTGAGTCCTGATTGTTCAAAGACCTTTCTGTCAAGGAAAGTGGAGCGTTTGGGTGTTTTTTTTTTTTTTTTTGTGACAGCAGTGCTTTGGAAATCATTAAAATGCTTTCATGTTAAAAAAATAAAAGGGTTCAGTTTCAACCTCGGGAAGTTCTTTAACTGTTGAGGTGCTTTTCTTGTTTCTAGCGCCGGCTTCGTCATCTTCGGAACATCGCTGCACGGAACATCGTCAATAAGAACGGATATCGCCTCTTGGACACGTATTTCACTCTTCACTTGTGTGATAACACCAAGATATACAAAGGTAAGCCAGGCTTGACATCAGTTTTTTCACTAGTTAAGCTTTGAATTCTTACGACATTAATTCTCTGTCCTTTTTAATGCTGCCATTATGTGCCTCGTGCACACCAGCAGTGGAAAAGAACTCTTTAGTTTTCTGAACTTAAGAAAAACTTTGTGTTAGCAGCTGAGGAAGCAAAACAGGTGACACGTTTGGCTCCTTAAAACAGCCTTATTTTTGTTGTTGCTCTCCTTCTTCCCCCACTGATAATTTAAGAAACTTGGGAATTTCCAAGAGCACAGAAAAATGAATGCTTTAGGAGCCTTTGCTGCTTTGTGTGGGGGAGTGTGTTCCCCTCTGTGCACACCAGGTACTTTACAGAGCATAAACCAACACTTACTGTTATCATAATTTTCCAAAAATAGAGCTGTCAGCTAGTGACACAAAGCATCCAGGCATCTGTTCTGCTTTTGCTGACTGGGTTTGAGTGTTAGGTCTCATTTCTGTTTGCCCAGTTGTCATTGTGGAGAGATGTTATTAAAAAAGGATATTTTTATACTCCTTTTGATATGATCAACAATGTACAGGTGAATTTTGGGTTTCTTGTAATTTTTATTTTCAGCTCTTCTAGCTGAACCTTTTTTTTTTCAACGTGGCTGTTTTAAAAGGGTAAGAATAGAGAACTTGGACTTGCTACCTGGACTTTCTTGTGGTTATTGGTTGAACCTGTAACTGATCACTGCTTCTACAGTGTTTGATGTACAGGACTGTTCTGCACTTCATCAAAACTTGGACTCCAATAGACTCAAAGATGCACAAAATCTCTATTCCAACCTCCAGAACCATCTACCTGAAATAAACACTTAAAGCCTTTGGCTCTGAAAGCCAAGGTCCACGTGTCAGAGGTTGCTTATTTCCATTTAAATACCAGGTTCTTGGCACCTCTGTGAGGTAATTTGTCTGTTCGCTTTCTAAGCATCTGGAACAGGTCACCCTTGCTCTTCAGGAGAGCAACCAGTGTATCCATGCTGCACTCCTCTGGGAAGATGTCCTGTGACAAACTCAGCACCCTGCAAAAGTCATCCAAACAGTGTAAAGGACTGAGGCATGTTCTTTCCCCCCCAGAAACCACAGCCTCAGTAAATCTTGAGAATTACCTTGGGTATAAAGATGAATTGCTAAATTTAAATAATGACCACTAATAATTAAGTGTGAGTGAGTACTTTTAGTCAAAAGTGTCACTGAATTTTAAGGTCTTCCTGGTGAATCTGTTACTGATAAACTAGACCCACTAGCACATGTCTTTCTAGTGTTACTTATTTTAGCCTTTTCTGTTTCAAATGCTACAATTTGAATCCATGTTTAAGCCAATCTAAAGGTTTTTTTTCTGCTCTTGTCTTTAGAATTTTATAAGAGTGAAGTGGTCAAGAATTCTCTGGTAAGTTATTTTTGCATGGAAAAACTTTCATTAAAAAAAATTATGTATTTGCTGCAAGATATTGATTTCTCTGCTAAATAACATAACTGCTAAATGTGTTTCCATGCCTCAGTTCTTCTGGGAGCGTCCCGTTCTTCTCTCTTTTCAGGCTTTTTCCACAAGGATTTGAGTAATGAGTTACTGACTAGTAGAAATGCATGTTGTTTTAACAGCTGTGGAGCAGTGGTCTGTTGGTGCTCCTGCAGACAGGACTAAACACTCCAAGGGTAGGACATTTTCATGTTAAAACTCAGGTTAGCCTTGACAATATATATCCATTTCAAATATTGAGGACACCAAAAACGGCCAAGTCATCTTAGCTGGACATTTATTGGTTTAACTTCTTTCAGCTTCTGAGAATTGGATGCATCATAACTCAGGTTTGTTCACAAGCTTTTTGTTTGTTTGTTTTTTGCTGTTCCTGGTGGTGTTAGCAACAGAAGTAGCTGCTTTTATATAAATGTCTGCAAATTGCTCATTCAAGGAGTGCTTGTATTCCTTTGGGTGTACAGCTGCATTAGAAGCTCCCACTGTGCAGTTTGGGAACCTTGGTGTAGAAGCAGAGGCCCAGCTTCCAACACCCCAAATAAAGGGAGAGTCAAACAGTGCTGCAGAACATACCACTAGTTTATTTGAACATTTTTTTGTACCAGTGAATAGTAAGGAACCTAGACCTGCATATACATCTGAGAGTTTCTGAATTTTCCAGTTCAGATCAGCGAAGCGACCAGAAGTGAACAGTTACAGCTGAGAAGCGGTAGGTCTCTGTGGGAGTAGGATGTTGCAAGTGTTGGGTAAGGGAGTTTGAAAACCTGCTAAACAGACTTTCTAATGCCTGCATTAATGAGGGAGAACTGCACTGTTTATAGAACCCTGGGCTGTGAATGCTTTGGAAAACTATGGAGTGGAGGAAGAGCTGTCTGTGGCCTCAATACTGTAACATGTCCAAGAGACAAATTCCTCGAGACTTCAGGATTTTGAGTTCTACCTGTTCTAATTCAGGAAAAGGAAACATAGAAGGGGAATCTAACCAAAGGAAATAGGAGATGGAATGACAAAGATCTAAATACAAGAGATCTTGAGCAAATTCCGAATGTAATCTATGGGTTTTTTAATGACTTGGTGCCTGAATAGCTTCCGAATATCCTTTCTCCATAGGAAAACTTGATGAATGCCTTCCCTCTGTAATACTTCTTAGGTAACTGCCCCTTCCTTTGTCTCAGAGGCATCTGAATCTAAGTTCCCTAATACCAGTTCCAAGATGCTTGGTCTGTTCCGAGCTGCTGAGTCACTAGAAGGAAAGGCTTGTTCCCTCCAGAGATGGTGGGGCCCTACCTGTTGTTTAGGAGGAGGTACCATTTCTGTATGCAGCAGAAGAAGGAGATGGAAAAAGCTCTTTACCATTTCTGTGTCTGGACACCTTGTGATTTATGGCTTGTGGAAGTCCTAAAGTTGATATCTGTCTTTTGGCACTAAAGTAGCATTGGGTTGGTTTGGTTTGGTTGCAGCTTGGGCCAATTACAAGGTTCCATAAATCTAATTGAAATGTTGTCAGAGGTGAGTGCAGGTTCAAAGAATACCTCCTGTTTGCAAATGTGGGTCCTAGTGGAATAGGTGTTTGAAGTTTAGCTTGAAGTGTGCTGCTTCTGTAGAGATTGAGAAGCAAGTCTGATCCCTTGGAGTGAAGAGGAACTCTTAGTGACAGTGTTTGAGGATTGTCATCAGCATCTGTCAAGGAGAAGAAGAATGTGAACAAACCTGTCAATAAATTATGCAAACTTTAATTATTGGGGGAATAGATTAGTGTTTAACTTCTGCAATGCAAGCTCTACCCTAGTTTTAGAAGCTGAGTTATAACTTGGCAAGGCATGTTACTTCCACTTTTAAAGTTCCTCATTTGAATAAACTGAATTAGGAAATTCTGAAGTAAACTCTTCACTATCTTGTAGTGGAAGGAGGCAGAGCCCACTCTGAGTTTCTGAAGCACTTCACAGCATGTAGCTTTTAACCCAGGAATTCTCTCTAGAAAACAGGATGAGGAAGCAGCAGAACCTGTAAGCTTCAATGCTGTATAAACCTTGAAATGGCTGATATGCTGAAGTGGTTTTTTTAGACTTTGACTTGGACTTTGCTGCTTTCTGAATTGTTAATTTTAGGCCTACTTTCACCTTGAGTTATTTTTATTCTTCTTTGAATACCTACAGAATCCGACATGGAGGAGTCTGGACTTTGGAATAATGCCGGATCGTCTTGATACCTCTGTCTCCTGTTTTGTTGTGAGGATCTGGGGTGGCAAGAAGGAGCACTTTCAGCTTTTGATTGAATGGAAGGTCAATCTAGATGGGTTAAAGTACTTGGGCCAGCAGGTAATGTGAATTTTTTTTTTTTTAAGTTTGTAATTAAGAAAACAACTGGTGGATAACAAGTTGCCCATAAGCCAGCAATGGGCCTGTGTGGCCAAGAAGGCCCAGTGGTATCTTGGGGTGCATTAAGAAGAGTGTGACCAGCAGGTGAAAGGAGGTTCTCCTCCCCCTCTACTCTGTCCTAGGGAGGCAACCTCTGGAATATTCTTCAGTTCTGGGCTCCCCAGTTCAAGGGAGAAAGGGAGCTACTGGAGGGAGGCCAGTGGAGGCTCCAAAGATGCTGAAAAGAGTGGAGCATCTATGTGCAGGACAGGTTGAGAGCCCTGGGGCTGCTGAGCATAGAGAAGACTCAGAGGGGATCTGATCAATAGTGAAAGGGTGGGAGTCAAGAGGCTGGGGCCAGACTCTTGTCAGTGGTGCCCAGCAACAGGGCAAGGGGCAACGGGCACAAACTGGAACCCAGGAGGTTCCATCTGACCAGGAGGAGAAAACTTGTTTCTGTGAGGGAGGCTGAGCCTGGAACAGGCTGCCCAAAGAGGTTGTGAAGTCTTCTCTGGAGACTTTCAGAACCTGCCTGTCTGTGATCCTGGTCAAGCTGCTGTGGATGACCCTGCTGTAACAGGGAGGTTGGATGGGGTGATCTCCAGGGGTCCCTTCCAACTCCTACCATGCTGGGATTCTGTGATCTGGATGAACAAATATATGGAATGCTAAGAAAAGAAATTAATGAATGTATTTGAAGGGCACATTTTCAAGTTTGATTGCAGAGCTTAATTTTAGCTCGTCTTGAAGCTTTAAATCTTGACAAGCTGAATATTTTAAGTTACTGTTGTTCGCTGAGCCTCTCAATGATACTTCTAATGGCTCAGAAAGGACTCTGTATCACATAAATAATGAAAACACAAAAAAATACAGTGCCTTTTGAATTAAAATAGGTTGTCCTAATGCCAATGGGCAATTTTTGATTGATTAATTGATAGGATCTATTTAAAACAGATGGTAGTTTTTTTCCTCACTTTAGAAGTAAACGACTTTTTTATTATTTTCTTTAAAACTGGTATGTTTCAAAGCCTAGAAAGAAAGCTTTATAGGGAATGACTGCTGTAGATTCACATGGTGCTCTGATCCTGGCCAGCACCCCCTGCACTGGTTGACTGGGAGAAATTTGAAGCAAAATTGAGGAAAAACTCCATGGGCTGAGGTAAAGACAGTCCAATAACTGAAAGGGAAACCCAAACAATAATAATAATACTGGAGGCCCAGTGAGAAACAGAAGAGGCCGTGGTGATGTGCAGGCACCATTCAGCAATAGCTAAAATTGTTACCAATAGTGTTTTAGTCATAGATGTAAAATCAAGCACCACAGGGACTGCTAGGAAAACAGTTAACTCCATCACTGCCAGAGCCAGTACCCTCCATGTTGTGTCTTTTTTTCCTTTTGTTTATACTGCACAGAAGAAATGTCTCCCTGAATAATATGCTCTAGTGCATGGTCTTATTTGAACTAATGTTCTGTACATTAGCAGCAGGATATTAGCTCCAATAGAGAACATAATTTTATGTCTGCTATGACCACAAAAGCCTAATTTTGAATATAATTTTAGGTAGCATCATGTGAAAGCTATTTACTCCTGAGACTTGTCTCTTTGACTAGTTTCTTGGTCTCCTAGTTATTTTTTTTTTTTGTCCTGCAACAATAGGAAAGATGTGCTGGCCACTACTTCTGATTTCAGGGTGGAATGGCTGAACATGGAGCCTGTTGTTAAAGTTGTGAAGCAAATGCATTTCCTATGGTTAAATTCAGTTTTCTCTTAGATTCCATGTGTGTCTAGAATTACAGGTGCTGAAAAGCTGCATTTTACTGTTAAATAGAGCAATTTAAGCTTGTTTGCACTGTAAAGCTGACTAAACTGATTTGTTTTTCTTCTCTTCTTACAGATACATGCAAGAAACCCAAATGAGATTATATTTGGTCTCAACGATGGTTATTACGGAGCTTCATTCGAGCAGAAGGTAAGAGTATCTCATATGGGTTCTGGCTTGTTAGTTCTGGTGACAAGCTGAAATTCCATTTCTAAACTGAACTTTTCACACTTGGATGCTCAGAAGATTAAAACAGTTTTGACAAGAAATACTTCTTGGACATGACAGCTAAGAACTGTTTCTTGCTTCTGTTGCATGGACATCTGAGCTGTTCTGAGAAGACTTAAAGCAATAGGATTCTAAGTCAAAAAAAAAGCCTTGTTTACTGAAAATAAACCTTGACTCTATTCTTTGAGGCAGATGTTCATTCAAACATAGCACATTTTGAAAACAGTGTGGCTGTTAACACGCTTTTCTATTTGCCCTGAAAATGAGTTTTCAGTTTTGGTTCTCACTCTTCAAACCAGAGTTTGTAGCTTTTCAGTGGTTATTTGCTGTGTTGCAACCGTTTTGTCTAATGTTTTTTTTTTCCAATATTGTGCCTGCAGCCAAATTAATTCTATGGCAATATGACTTTTAGTTACATGGTAATGCTGATTCCTACATTGATGATGACAAAATTGCTGGTAGCAGCACTGCAGTATAGAGAGGTTGTACCAGGAGGCCTTGGCTGGAGAGAAGGTGACTCTGATATGCAGCTACAGTTTGTGTTAGCCACAACCAGTAAGTCCAGTCTGGTAGGGATTTGAGTGGAGGCAATGGCTCTATAGCCAGTGACATGGGTAACCATGCATAGAATCTGAGAATGGTTTGGGCTGGAAGGGACCCTAAAGATGATCTAGTTCCAACCCTCCCTATCATGGGCACTAACCTCATAATGAAGAATTTCTTCCTAATATCCAGTCTAAATCTCCCCTCTTTCAGTTTAAAGCCATTACCCCTTCTTGTATCACTACATGCCCTTGCAAAAAGTTCCTCTCTGGCTTTCTTGTAGGCCCTCTTTAAGTACTAAAAGGTTGCTATAAGGTCTCTCTGGCGTCTTCTCTTTTCACAAGCAAAGCCTCTTTGTGTGTTTACACGTCTGTATCTAATAAATGCTGTGGCAGAGAAGATGACCAACTCGCCTGTCAAAGTGCAAAGTTTTTAAATACCTAAGTCTGAAACCCTTCCATTGCATGTTCTGCAAGTTGCCTTGGGGTAGAAGTTTGTACTGACCCCTGGGTGTGTGACTCTTTGGGAATTTTCTTTCAGCACCCTGTAGTACAGGGGGGAAAAGAAAAAGCTAAAGTATGTTGCTGCTCCAAATATTTTTTTCCCTTCCTGAAACTAGTTATTTTAGGCCACTCCTCTAGTTCTCTGAAAAATTTTGCACTTGGCTTTATGAAGACTATGCTTCTTGAAACAGCATCAACTTCATGGTGTAAAATGGTGATGCTGGTAGTTGTGCATTTTCACTTTTCACAGAATCCCAGCATGGTGAGGGTTGGAAGGGACCTCTGGAGATGATCTCATCCAACCCTTCTGCCAGCAGGTCACCCACAGCAGGGTGCCCAGGATCACATCCAGGTACATTTGGAATCTCTTCAGAGCAGGAGACTCCACAGCCTCTCTGGGCAGTGTGGTCCAGTATTCTGGCATCATCAAAGCAAAGAATTTTTTTGTCATGTTAACGTGGAACCTCCTGGGTTCCAGTTTGTGCCCATTGCCCCTTGTCCTGTAGCTGGGCGCCACTGACAAGAGTTTGACCCCAGCCTCTTGTCTCCCACACTTTCACTATTGATCAACCTTGATCAGATCCCCTCTCAGTTTTTCTCCAGCTCAGCAGCCCCAGGGCTCTCAGCCTTTCCTGGCACAGAGATGCTCCAGGCCCCTCAACATTTTTGAAGCCTCTGCTGGACTCTCTCTGTTAGTTCTGGGCTCCCCAGTTCAAGAGAGACAAGGAACTGGACACAACAGTGCAGAGGTGGCCTCCCTAGGCAGAGTAGAGGGGGAGGAGAACCTCTCTGGACCTGCTGGTCGCACTCTTCTTCATGCTCTCCATCCTCCTTCATTCAGTTTTCACCATCCTAGTTCACTCAGGCATTAAGACATCTTTACTTTCATATTCTTTTTCATGAGATATGTATATAAATTTCAGCATATAGAATCCAACATCCTGAGAATGGACATGAGGAGCTGAGACAGCTGCTGATATGGGGCCTCTTGCAATATGAGGCATAATGCAGTGTATAGATCTCACAGCTCTTCAGGTGGAACCTTATTTTTGGTGGGAAGGAATGTCTGCTGCGTGGCCTGTGGCTAATTCAGTCGTATCAGTAGATGTCGACATGTAGCTTCTCATTTCAACATCATCAGCTTGTTGAGGCAGGGAAGAGTGCGTGGGCAGGGATCGTGCTGCTCGGAGCACATCTGCATCACTACTGGGAGATTAACTGGCCACTTGTACCAGCTGGGCTACTTCACACACTGAAACAAAAGCCTTTTTTCCTACAAGCTCTAAACCTCCTGACAACACTGCCAGGTGATTCGACCTACTTGGAATTCACTTTATCATGTGAAGAAACAGTTCTGAGCTTGTGGTGTTTCTAGGGATTGGTGTGACTGTTCTTGATATGTAAGAGCTTGGTGTCTGACCTTTTCAGCATGAAGAGTTGCTCTTCATCTGCTACTCTTTTGATGCCTCCTGTGCAGAACGTACAGTTTGGTCTCTGAAGAATGGCATAAGGTTGTTTTTGTTACTTCCAGAAACTTGCTTGCATCATTTAAAACTAAGATTGCTTTGATCTTTTAAACGTTAAGAACAGAGCTTTATCTCGTGGTCATGTAGATGTCTGGCATGGTAGTGAAGACATCCAGATCTGAAGCTGAAGAATGTCACTACTGTGAATTGCAGCCTACAATGTTTCTGTGCATAAAACATGTGCAGTAATGGTTTAGAAAGCTCAAGAAAACATACTCCATGTCTAGAACACATAGAAAGTTATAGGTTGTTAATATCTTTATAGGTAAGTGTTCCTGTAGGCCAGTCTTGAACTTGGTATTGCTGCCACCTTGACTTGTTTCTACCTACCCTACATAAAACTGTATGAAGACAGATGTAAAATACATAAAACGTAAGATCACTTGTTCTCCTACCAACAGTACGTGCTTTTAGTCAAGATGGAAAAAAAATTAATTCTTAAATTAACTTTCTTTGTTTGCCTTAAGGATCACTCAGGTACCCTGAAGAACAGTCTTCTCCAGGTGGATCAGAACTGTGTTCGTAACTCGTACGATGTCTTCTCTTTGCTTAGGTAAGGTTTCTGAGAATATTCTGTGTAGCTTTTGCAACTCTTTAGTGTTAAAAACATCTTCTAGACTGGAATGTGGTAATTGGTAGTGCCAATCTACTGCTGATAGCAAGGGGGTGTATGTTGGTTTATGCCTTGGTGGTCTCCAGGCTGCTGCCATGTGCATACTGGAGTGCTCTGAACTAGAGGTGGTATGGAGCTGGCCCATGGACCTGCCTTGTGAATGTTAAATCACGAAGGTTCTTTGTTGGAGAGCTTCTGTGTAAAGCATTTACTCTCTTCTCCTCAACAAAATCAGAATTGAAATGCTTTAGAACAATGAGGGGAAAAAGCAACTTGCCAAAACTTAACTTGGTAGAATGATGCTGTAGTTGGAACAACACAGCTACACACCAAAGTGTGTGTTGAGGGGTTTTTGTAGTTTTGTTTTTTTTTTTTTTTTTTTCATCTTGAGGTGCTGAATTGACTTTACCTTTTGCAAAATTCTCCCTTGTAACTGAGAAAAGAGGCTCTGCCTGGTCAGGACCCAGGTACTCCAACACACTGAAGTATGAGAAAGGGCAGTAACTGCACTTCTGGGTGGTTACCTCTGTGGTCTCTGGTGAAAAACACAAAATCCTAGTATGAAGTTAAACAAGAAGGCCTTTTTCAGAGCTTTTTTCATTATTATAGTTCAAGAACTTTAGCTGTGGGGAGGTTTTAAATGCTGGCAGTAGGTTAGCTTTGAGGAATTTGTATTTAGAAGGCATTTTTACAAGACAAGTTGATCACTTCAGCTCTGCAGTGATAACAATAGGTGTGCTACAAAGGAAACCTTTGAGAAGGAAATGTTTAATATGCTTTCAGGAGTCTTCAGAAAAATCGATTTGGATTTTTCTTGTCATAAAAGTCGGATTCATTTGATACTGCTAACAGTAGGTGTCACTGTTGCCTGCAGGAATCCCAAGCTTTGAAGAAAGAGGCAGGAAAAGTTACCTTGAGGTTGCTTGTTCAGAAGTCTTTATTTTATAAGCTCTCTTAAAATTTAAATGTGCTGTTTCTTGATTCTGTAAAGCATATTTAAACTCAAGGCTGCTTTCTAAATGTCTGTCTTCTGCACTTTCAGTAGAAAACAACTGGGAGAGTGTTGTGAAGCTCTGGTCACAGTCTGCCACAGTCCATTAGAAGAGAAGAATTATACTACTATCTAACATTGAGTCTTTGTTCAATAGAAGAAAATGTGTGTTGGTCATCCTGATTGCTTTGTTCATGCTTTGTTTTTCCACATTTCCTTTCGACTTCATGCTCCAGAAACAACACTTGGTATTATATCAGCTGGTCATGAACCTGACCAGCTAGAGCTCTCTCTAATCTGAACATATTGCTGCTTCTGGAAGTGTCAGTCTTATCATAAAGCTGACAAAAAATGAATCACAGAATGGTAGGAGTTGGAAGGGACCTGTGGAGATCATCTCATTGAACCCCCCTCCTCCAGCAGGATCACCTAGAGCATCAGGGTGCCCAGGATCACATCCGGGAGGGTTTGGGATCTCTCCAGAGCAGGAGACTCCACAACCTCTCTGGGCAGCCTGCTCCAGGCTCGGCCACCCTCCCACCAAAGAAATTTCTCCTCCTGCTCAGGTGGAACCTCCTGGGTTCCAGTTGGTGCCTGTTGCCCCTTGTCCTGTCATTGGGCACCACTGACAAGAGTTTGGCCCCAGCCTCTTGCCCCTCTCCCATCCTTTAGCTATAGATCAGTATTTATCAGATCCCCTTTGTCTTCTCCAGCTCAGCTGCCCCAGGGCTCTCAGCCTTTCCTTGGCACAGAGATGCTCCAGGCCCCTCAGCATTTTCGGAGCCCCCAGTGGACTCTCTCCCGTAATTCCTTGTCTCATGAATGGGGGAGCCCAGGACTGAACACTGTACTTAAGGGGTGGCCTCCCTAGGGCAGAGTAGAAGGGGAGGACCTTGACCTGCTGGCTACATTCTTCTTAATGAAGTTCTCAACTTTTGCTTAAGCTCCCCTTGCTGGATGCTCACCAGGGCTGTTTTGACACTTGGTTACTGGAGCCATGTGCTTGGGTAAATCCTTGGGAGGTGAGAGTCCAGGGCTGTCTCTTACATAGGCATGCTGTTGGGTATAATTCCTCTTTAGCCCTGACTCTGATCTAAACCATCCTTCTTTCTTTTTCCTGTGTCCTAAAAGGACCTGTTTTTTCCATGCATTAGCACCAGGCCTGCTCTTCGTTATGTTTCAGTGGATTCCACACACCCAGTCAAGGAGTATATTCTGCTTGTCTAATTCTAGTAATTTTTTTACAGGTACATTTTCTCTACTACTGCTTACCTTTGGTATCTAGCTTAAAAGACTTGTGGTAGTGTTTATTTCTTTTAAAATAATCTTTAGTCTTTTTGTTATGTCCTTTTTATCCTACCAAGCAGTCTAGTTTGCTACTTCCAGGAGCCCAGGCTTGAGCAACTAGCCCATGAACTCTTTGCAGAGATGGTCTTCTGTGAAAGCACGTTCCACTTAAAACCAGAAGATTGAGATAGGCATAATTTGAGTTGATTCATCTGACAGGACATGTACTTTGGGAGGAAATTAATTGCTGTCTGCATGCTTCTGTCTGTTGGTTATAAAGAGAATAAGGAGGTGTCGGCATGGTCAGGGTTGCATCTGGTCATATAAATCCCATATTTTGAAGACTTTCTCATGATACAATATTTGCCTGTAGTTAAATTTCACAAGCTGCACATGTGGTTTCCTAAGGTTTTCATGAGACGTGAATATGAAGAACAGCTTGTCCTGGCTTCGTTTAAACTTCTCAAAGAAGGAAGCAGGTCCTGGTGATGGTGTTATCTGCATCCCAGTTATTGTGTTGGTCCCATGCTCCCTGGTGTGAGTAGGTTCTAGTTCATCCCTTAACTCTTAAAGTGCTACATGAGAACTTCTATGGTTGATCTATCTATCTAAACTGCTTTTTGGGAAAGAAATTAATTTCTTTTTTTACTTCTCAGAAGAAATGAACAACTAAAACTTAAGAAGCTTGTGAATAGATCTTAATGAAAAGCATGTGCTTGGCTGAAATTATCTTGATTTAAAATAATTAATTAGGAATGCCAGAGTGTGTGAACAGTAGAAAAATTTTTGAGTGTTGGATTAAAACAGTGCCTGTGTTCTCAGATGCTTAATTATGTGGATTTACAAGTTAATTAAGCAGGAGGAAAAAGTTTGAAGTGCGCAGGCAACTTGGCTTTATGCAAGGAAGTTCTCAGCACCTCTGCAGCTCAGGAACCTTCTTGTTTTGGGGCAGGGACAAGGTCCTCAGGCAAACCTGGTGCTGCTCATAGGTTGTTTGTGCCATATGGAAATGACAAATGTTCCTCCAGCCATTTGTTTTAAAAAAAGGCTAACTAAAAAAAAAATTAACGACCCCAACTGGAAAGCTAAACTGTTGAGATTTTTGTCCCTTGGCCACATTGTCAGATTTCCTGAAAAGAGGTCAGTTACAGGCTTTCTAAATATTATGTAGCTGGTAGTAATAGGTTATAGAGTAACACGTTTCACCTTTCAGTAACGCTCAGGATGGGCCAAATTCATCTGAGGTCATGTTCTGGACACGTCTCCGTAATCAAGCTCTCGGCACGTTTGCAGCACTGATGGGATTAGGTTTATATTTAGTACTTTCTTAGTTTTCTATCCTTTCTTTTCTTTAAACATTGAAAAATAGACTTTGCAGTATTAAGTGGTGTTGGGACAATGGGTTATGCTGGCAATTACTAAAGCAAGGGCTTAAAATCCTATATGTTAAAGTTTTACTTCAGTTCCTAAATGCAAAAAATAATACCTTGCATTCTACAACAGCTTTTTGTAGTATTGTGACACCTAGAGCAATTTGCCTGTTAATAGCTTTTTGTGCCTTTCAGCAGCCTGAAATCCTCCTAGATTCTGCCTGGGGGCAAAACATGTTCTAAGAACTAGTGAAACCTGCCCCTTTGAAGTTTTACTTCCTATGTCCTTGTCTCACTGGTCAAACCCTCTTTCTCTATGGTTTAACCATTCTTTCAGAAGATGGGATGGCATGTTTGTGCTATTTAGCTAGTCAGTATAAATTGAAAACATTTTTGTTGTATTTTTGTTGAAAAGATATTGTTTTTTTTGATAACAGCAACCAAAAAAGTTGAAGTTGGTCCAATCTGAGTGCTGCAGATGAGTAAAAGAACAACTCCAGGCAATTGCTGTGATGTTGTTAAGTAACCTGGCTGAAGCTGATCTAAATATTACTTCTAGGTGTTAAAGGGCTTCCTCTGCCACTGCCACAAGTGCATCTGAACTAGTGGAGCAAATTGTGATAACTAGAACAACTCCAGAGACCACACAGGCTGTGCCTTCCTTGAAAGCAACAGGTTCTCACAGTTCTGGAAAGCTCTGGTTCTGAAATAGGTCTGGCTGGAGTGCCCTGAACAAATAAATATGACTTTTTGAACCAGATTATAACACTAAGGAAACAATTTCCCTGTACTTTAGGTCAAAGCAACGATGGCTCAGGTTCAGTGACTTTAAATGGCCAAGATGTACACTGGGCTGAGGAGGACTAGAGCTCAACTTCTAAACTAGCAGCTACTTGCTACTTTCTAGGTAGGGGCTCAAAGAAACTTGGAGTGCGCTATTAAACAATCAGCATGCTGATATGTGTAGTGGCGTGGCCAAAGAAGGTCAAAAAAGCTGGTGAAGTGTCTAGAGAACAAGTCCTACAGAGAGCAGCTAGAGGGAACTGGGGTTGTTGAGCCTGGAGAAAAGGAGGCTCAGAGGAGATGTTGCCACTTTCTACAACTACTTGAAACGAGGTTGCAGAGAGGAGAGTCCAAGAGGAAATGGCCTTAAGTTGTGTCAGGGGAGACTTAGGTTGGATATCAGGAAAAAATTCTTCCAAAAGGGTTGTCCAGGGCTGTGCCAGGCTGCCCAGGGCAGTGGTGGAGTCCCCATCCCTGGAGGGGTTTCCAAGCCGTGGAGATGTGGTGCT